ATAATTTACCATAACTTTTGAACCGTAATTTTTACAGAAATGGGATTTGTACCATTTTGTTCAGAATTTAAAGGGCTACAACATACTAAATTTTTATCAAAATCGTTCGGGCCATTTTTGAGAAAATCCGATTTTTCCAGTTTTTATGGGTTTTTATGGGAAAATTCCCATAAAAAATCAAAATTTAAAAAAAATGAAAAAAACGCCTGGAGATACCACGGATTAGAACCTACATACCAAATTTCATTAAAATCGGACCACAGGTGTAGTCCCTAGCTCTGTACACATCCAGACACACAGACACACACACACACACCATCACACACACACACACAGACATCACTTCAAAAACCACTTTTTTGGGTCCAGGGGGACCCAAAACGAATATATCCACTCAAAACTCAAACTCGAAAATTTTGACGAAAACAATACTTTCTCCATATACTATGGTATAGGGGGAGAAAGTAATATGCATTGTGCAAACTTCTCTATTTTCACCCCACGCTGTAAATAAAACTTGTGATTGGAATTTCTTCCATTTGTTTTGATTTTCTGTTTATATTTCGTTGTTATTTCGTCATCAGCATGGCAGCACAAATAAGGCCCATGTTATCTCTTTAAAATGTTAAAATAATTTGTTGTGCTTATTTTTGAGATTATTTTAATTTATAAAGGGATTTTGCTCATCTACAGGTAAATATCTTTCTAACAGTACTGTATGCGTAGATTTTCCTTGCGATGCACACGAGCCGAGAAAAAAACAAGAAACTTAGAATATTTCTCTTATTTTTTTTATTAAAATATTTTGTGAATAATTTTCGTTTACAAACATGGTCTTTCAGCTAGACTCTAATGATTAAATTAAAATTTTGACGTCAGAAACACAATCTATAATTTCTTTTGTCATTGCTATACTGTTATTACTGTACAGTACTTCAACCGATCTAGCCTAAAGATATGGTACTCAACAAGTAAAACAAGATGTCAAATTAATGAAAGTGTATTTTCAACAGAGACGGGGTTCAATCAAAGAAAATCCTGTGGTTCTAATCTGTGTTATCTAATCGTGGAGTAATTGTTTGGTTGATTTCAGTTTAGTTATTACTCAATGAAATCGGTATGATATGATGGGATCAAAATATAACTATAAACTAACCTACATGTTTTATCTATGATAGAACGTCAGGTAGACAATATGCTATTTCCTTACACCGCAATCATCCTTATGGATCAGCTGAATCCATTTTCAAGCACGTTTCTAACACGTCAAATCATACTTCTACTACGTGGATTTTGGAAGTCTACTTGTAGCATCCAAAGTGATTGGATAATGTTTTTGACACACCATGCACAAGGGTTTTACTTATACAACCCTGCGACACACTAGCCGAAGTCACACAGTGACACGGTTCACTACCACGAAACGTCTCAAAGCGTCAAAAATCAGAACCACGGTATTCAGAAATTGAAAGTAGTGGCACAATGCGATGAAAAGTGGAATAACAATTTCTCCACGCGACTATCGATGGATCGCATCGCATCGCCCACGTGCTGTCAAACAATCACTGATATCGACAGAACGTGCGTGAATCGTGCACTCGCCACATCCACAAACGGGAATAAGATCAGTGTGCCGATACACCTAGAGCTACCAGCTACATCAGCTGCGTCGGCTACATTCCTGGTGTGCCATTGTTGCGGCTGAGCCACTTTCTAGCTGCTGCAGTCGCTGCAATTGGCTGGGTGCGGTTGATGGCTGATCAGTGATTTTCCAAAATACCTTCTGTAATGGAGGATTGGATGGTAGATTTAGATGGGCTTAGCCAAACTATGTGATGGCCGACTTCAAGTACAGGCTTTGACTTCAGTATCCAATAGTCAATGGTACAGATCTTAATTAATAATTACAATACAGAGAACGTTCCAATTTTCTATTAGGACAACAACTTATTCAATGTACGAGCATGCTGATTATGAGAACGATGTCAAACTAGTTAGTATTAGATATGAAAACAATTCACATTTCTGCATGTTGTTGTTGTTTTGAATAAACATTGTTCATCACTACTCTCAATTCTTCAATGAGAACCACTGTTATAGTAGGGGCATGTATGTCGAGGGACCACATCAGTATAAAGTTTAATGTGCCTATATGTGGTTAGTTTGAGTACCAATTTTGTTCGGGGAGATTTCCAAAAGCTTGGGGTAGATTACCTACCGCGAAATTTGTCGGCCACACTCCTAACAATGACATTAGTATGGCCGTATGATAGAAGGGTGGGCTGAAGAGGACCTAAGTCCTGGACATTCTCTTTGGGCACATCAGACTCTGAAGGGCTGCCATCTTGTCATCTTGTCTCGTCATGAAGAGAGAATGTTCATGTCTCACCAGAGAGGCCTTTCCTTTATTTTCTTTATTGTTGTGGCTCAAAGTGGGATTACAACTGCTGCAACTCGGCGCTCATTGGTAATTGGCAGAATTTGGACACGAGTTTCTGGCCAGAAGTCTCGCCAACCAATAGACAAAGACCACTAATAGTCATACCTGACCTATACCCCACTCTGAACCAGCCATGATTACACAATATTATACGCCATCTGAGACGGAATAATTAAGGAAACCCCACCAATATCAGTCCTCAACCGCGGAGGGATTGAGCTCAGGCGGTCAGAAGATACAAATTGCCAAAAGATGGCAGGGTGTGTGTTGGCGCTAAATGCAGTTAAATTCCCGCGCTTTCCTCAGTTGTAGCCGACTCACGATGCTCCCACGCCAGACACTTTTACACGAGGGGAAATTCATTTTTTGTCCAACGGGTTTCTCATTGTACGCAGTGAAAGGGGCTTTTTGTAAGTTTCGTTCAGTACAAGAGCTGAAAGTCGCCACAGCGTCGGTATTGTTTGCAGAATGAGTCAGCTGGTATCGGCTTGATTGGTCTATTTAGGTGACAAAATATTGCATTGCGCGATGAGCGTAATTTTTATTTCAATATGAGTTGCGGTATATAGGGAGATTCAGTATATTGATTGGCTTGAGAGAAGACCATTACCGCAACGATACGGTGAGCAGCCATCGGCTTCGGTGGCGTAGTGGATAGCGTACCGATCTGATAATCAAAAGGTACCAGGTTCGAATTCTAGTCATGACACTAACTTTTTGTCTACAATTTTTTCACCATCAGCAGGTTTGGTTAGTTTGGTTAGGTTATGATAGTTAATTTTATAATTTAAACATTATAAAAATGAATTAGAGCCATTTAATTATAGTTTTATTTTATAAACATAACTATTTTTTTCGATTAGTAAACCTTCATTGGATTTTTTCATCATCAGCAAGTTTGGTTGGTTTGGTTAGGTTAAGATAGTTTAGTTTTATAATTAAAAAGTTATAAAAATGAATTTGAGGCATTTATAATTTTATTTTATGAACAGATCTATTTTTTAGATTAGTAATCCTTCATTATAGCCAGTCAGAAGCCTCCAAATGACTGCATTATGCCCTATATGCCGGAACTCCAATTGAAAAAAAAATTACGCGGGCGATGAGCTGAGGTATAATAAAGATCGATGGCTGAGGTTCCCCATTGGCAAAGATGGGTGCAAGTGGATTTTTTCTGTAATAATATGTATCATGAAACTCTGGACCAGGATGAGAATGACAACATAATTTGAATGTCTTAAATGCATGTTATGTATTGGATTTAATACGTGGTATACGTCAAAAAATTTATATAACGAGGTAAAGTTATTCAGTATTCCACAGTTACCGGTATAGTGTGACCTAGATTGGGTTCTAACTTCTGGAACTAACTCATACAACTGTTTTTGACGTCGTACGGCAACGGTCCCAGTTTTCAATATAGGACTAGGGGTGTCCTACATGGTACCAAACATCAACATTGAGCATTTGCGTGGAATAGATCTTGTAACCAGTAGCAAATCGTATTTGTTTCCTAGTAGGTATCATTGTATCAACCCATTGAAGAAATTCAGTAGTTGCAATTTAAAATCAACAGGAACGCCATAAAAGTGCTGCATCTGATGTACTGGATCAGGTTGCCTAATTCAACCAAACTTAACCTAACCTGATTGTGAATAGCGTTCTGACTATTGGAAAAATACCATTCCGCGGAGCAACTACGGCAATGGGTCAATGGGTGTGTAGTCACCCTAGTGAAGCGTTTCGAACTTCAGTACAAGAGGGATGCACAAATATTTTGAGGGGTCACTTTTCCTTCAGTGTCGTAGATCCTTTCACACAAAACGCCACTGGAGTTCCACCAATGATTGGACGCCATAAGAATATCAACATATCGCACACTAGAGCTAGGTCGGGAACCGGAGTTTTGCCAACGGTGGTGGTGGGAGAAAGAGTGTGACTGAGGGAGGGAGAGCGATTTTCAGGGTTGTCTACGCTTGGCAGTTGTGCGCTTGTTGCAGTGGGTTAGGTTAGGTTAGGTTAGGTTACAAATTCAATACATTTCCTTTCACAGTCAGAAGTGCTTAACTGCAATACTGAACACAGTCAGCATCCTGCCTGGTTTGTCCACCCCTAGCGGAAGCTACCCTCACGGTCACGTGTAATATCTCTCTCTCTCTCTCTCTCCCTCCCCCTCTCGCGCAACCCACAACCATAGATCTATAATAACAACACTGTTAAAAAAATAATGTTAAAACACTGTTAAAAAATCAAAACACTGTGTTGTTATTATAGATCTATGCCCACAACCGATGGCAAAACTCCGCAGTATGAGAAATTCACGGATGGGGACCCTTTCTACCTGATACCCGTTGGCAAAACTCCTACACTCAGCTAGGTCAAATTGCCTAACCAAACCTAACCTAATTGTAAAAAATCTGTGTTCAAGAAAACGTAAATTTACCAGATTTACTGGAGATGTACAGTATCTACCATTGATGTTTCGGTATCAACTTACCACAAACCACACAACCACAGTTCTCCCTCTCCACCACAGTCCCGGGTACCGCAGTGCCGCGCCTGGTCCACCAGTCGCCCGCGCGCCGTGATATCGCTCGCACCATGAGTGCTCATACTCACCTCTGCTACGTGCTCCTCGCCACACTCGTACTTTATGGTTCGTAATACATTTATTAGAAAAGTACACAAATAATTTGTTGTTAATTCTGATTTGTAGCTTGATTTCTAGATTGTAGAGCTTAGAGTTGTATAGTACTGTAAAACAAAACTGATGTCAAATTTTAGTCAGGTTTGACCAATTTGAGAGTAAAATAATTTACGACTGATTTATTTATTTTCATGGCTCGTACTTTGTATTTCGTAGTACACTTATACAAATATTGTACAGCACTAATTGTTTGCAAAATCAGACGTGTAAGTTCTACAAGTTTAGACTTTTAAAATTCCGACTTAATCATTTGAGGATTAGGCCATACTCCTAGCCACACTAGAACATTATGCGTTGTATAACGGTATGGATTTTGTACAAAAATAACTTGTAACAAAATTGTATTTGTAGCTTTATTTAAAAATCATGTAGCCTATCTTTAAGTTTAGATTTTGAAAACTGTTTCTGATTAATTTGTCGTTACTCTTGGTCAGACTCTACGTAATGGTTTTTATTAGTTTTACTACAAATTACAAAAAAATTAAAAAATCAATCGAGTAAGTTAATATCTAATACGTGTCTTAACATACATGATTACTATGTATAACATTGATATAACACATCATAGGTCAAATAATATACAGTAGTTATAAATGAATGTAATGTTTTCGGTAATGTTAATTGGGAATAACGATAAAAATATTTTGACTACATATCAAGTTAAATGTTTTCATATTAAGCTTATTCCTTTACTAACTCAACTTTAATAAAGTTGTATAGGCCAACAAACTAATTATATGCAATTTCAATTCAGATCATGAGCAATATTTCAAAATTATTGGTACACACTTAACTTCTATCACTCTACAGTAATGGGGTTATTGGCTAGAACTAATAATTTTTTTAACCGGTCTCTAAATATGTATAATTTGCTATACACATTTAGACCAATAAAGTCACCATCATAGGTTTTCCCATGGGTTCTTTTTGTCACTCAGAATTGTCATATATTAAAATACCTGCTAACGGTACACTGCTGTGCTGGTACTGGGGTAGAGCGAGATAGAGAACTAATGGCCCCGATGTACGCAAGTAATGGCTTACTCCGCTGTGGATAAGTGTGCATATCCTTGCAAGTAACGGCCAATGGTCAATGACTGACCAATAGCTTCCATCACAGCTGGACAGTCGCAGTGAGTCGGGACTTTGCGTCGCTGCAGCATTTACATCTCTAGGCCTACTCAACACAATACAAACTACAAAGTATTGCTGTACATAACCTAACATAAAGCATCATCCTAACCGTTTGGAAATAACGGTAAAGCGTCAGAGATATTATGTACTTAATCAAATATTTTAGTGTGATCCAGCATGTTTCAAGACTACCATTGGTTGTTTATGACACTCGTTGAGCAACTATGAAACATATTCGTACTCTTCGTACTTGCATTTCAATATAATGTCAATTAGAAACTCTTTTCCGAATCTAGTAGCTAGTTTTTAGACTAAGCAACTTACGAGAAAAAATCACAGATATATTCAAAATAAAAATAAAATTATATAAACTAGTTTGATCATTTAGGTTTAAATTGCAATTTTAAAAATAACACTTTTATTTACTAACGAGTTCAATTGTGAGCTTTGTAACATGGTGACTTGCAGTAACTGTAATTTTGGGCCTAAAATCAATTATTACAATATCCGTTTTGTTCATAAGAAAGAAATAAGAATGCGTAGTGGTTTAATACCAATCAAATAAAATAAACACTTAAATTTGATGCAACTTGATTGAAGAAGAACGTGTAAAAAATGTAGTTTGTTATTGTAACCAATCATAGCACAATTTTAATCATATCGACCCCTCAGAAATTAAACCTGTAAAGTAAAATTCACAAACAAATATTTTAACGTAGATTTCTCTAAACTTCCAATTGATTATTAGAGAGCCCCAAATGTTATTTCCTCAACTCGTTCACATGTGTGGAATCGCTAAACACAGGTTAATGGACACTTTCATTTCGCGCAGACGTTTCGGCTGATGATTGTTTTCTCTAAGTACAGGCTGCGTTTGTAAACATCCTACGAAGGAATACAATCTTCTATGTTCCCACATGGAAGTGGGCCAATAGATACACTGTCAACTTTCTACAGTTAATGGTCCAAGTTTCGTGGCGTTGCACCCCTCGGCGTCAGGTCCTCTTCTCTAGGCCGCTATTATGACGGGTCCTCTAGGGTTAATCGTGAGTTTTGGGAACAGCTTTCGCATTTTTACTTTCGTGGGCCATTTATTTGAATGCTGTCAGTGGGGTCAGCTCGTGTTTTTCGGTTGTGTGGACATCAGCGTAATCGATAAGGAAATCTCACAAATCTCTTAGCATTAGCACTCATATATTTTGTTTCTCAGCTAATTTTGACATCTGAGTTTTTGGTGTCAACAGTTAAGAATGAGGCCATACTCTGTTAAATGTTTAAAAGAGTGGCATGCTTCCCTAGTCTGTCTTAGCTGAACTTCAATAACAACATGTTGAAAACCCTTTGGGACACTAACACTACGATAAGCCAAATGTAGCAAACAATATTCTACGCTTACTGTAGATTAGTTCAGTATTGTACTTAATGTAAATCTTTACTTCTGCCAGCAGACTGAATCTATGTATCAAATGAACACCCATGTTACCTATGTTACCAGGGTAGGGGGACGACCTCGTTTATAGGGATTGAATGAAAAAATATTGACGAATTCCTTAATTTAGTCGTTTTACGAGACGCGTATCAAATTTCTAGAATATGATTCTAGAGTCATTTGAAATTATTTTATTGTCCCTTTGCTAATGCACTACAGTATATCGTTGCCAAAATCTCTAATTTGATTCAAGTACCTAATTTGAAAAGCCCCAAATATATCTCAACAACATCGCCTTAATAAAACTACAGGCAATACAGGCCCCTGAAACCCTTTCTGGTAAATTATTATAAATAATAAAGCTACCAATGAGGTTTTATTTAACTCAAGTCTTAAATAAATTAAGAGCACAGAAACACGGTGTAAAGCATTTTTTTGCTATGTTAAACAATAATTGCTTTAGATGTACCGTCAAGTCTCAGAAAGTTATGCGGTGATATAATTCTGTAAGTAGTAAATATCTTTGTGAATTAAAGCACCACTATAGATTGAACGAGATAGGCCATACATCGCGTTCCAGCTTCCAGCTGTTGCTGGGCAGCAGTGTGCTTCCATCCGTATCATACTAACCAGGTTGGTTTATTCAAGCACAGTTATCTACACCCACATCATGTAGAGTGGGTAGAATGTTCAATATTCAGACATGCGAGTGTCCGTGTGCACACACTACAATACAGGACATTGCCCTGTATCTGGGTACATTAGTTGTAAATCTGGATCATGGCTTTACCAGGTCAAAATCAAAGGCTATCGTGATGTGTTCAGTGAATAAATACGGAATACTTGACAGGTCAGTGAATAGATCCCATGATTGGTTACTCCAGTGATCCAGTGACTAATCTATGATGAAAATAAACATCTGTAGAAGCAGATGAACATGACTAAATAACAAATGTAATATCGATATAATAATCGTAATCGATGAGATGTTATTGGCGAGGCGAGATGTATATGAACGGACATTGATGCACATCTTAATTTACAATAATTAAAGGTTCAATTATATCGTTGAAATTGCGAAGGAACGAGACTCTTCCACCAACTTCAGTTTTACAATGAGTCGCCTCTTTAACCCTAAAGTGGGGTTTGGTTCGATTTCAATAGCTTTTGAAAAGTCTAATGGTGCCGTTAACACGGAATAACTATTCCAATATTGGACATATCTCTTGGAGTAATATCAAAAGATTGATTTAAAAGTACAGTCCAAATCAGACATTTAGGATGGAGGTTGTGTATTTGTGTAACGTTAACTGCAGCTTCGTCTTAAATATTTCATAATACAGTATTGCAAAGCTATGCCTCATAGAAGCCTTACTCTCATCTAAAGGTGAGTTCTAAAGTTCGAGATGAATAAGCTGTTTAAACTTCTCGTATTCTCTTACGCAGTTTATTACAGTACGATGGTTCAAAATAAAGAAAACTGTTACTCTCCAACAAAACCCTTTCCTAAACCTTTTGTTGAACGCAAAAGTTTGGGCTATATGTTTGTAAAATTATTTCTTACGTTTTTGTTTTCTGTCAACGTAAGAATTTTTAATTTAAATAATGGATCTCATTTAGTGAAGATATTAGTTTGGTCCACAGTTCGTCCTTGGACTCAGATTAGAATCAGGAATGCAGTTCCCATGATGAATCTGCGTCAGGTTCTCCGCACGAAAGTGTTTGTGTTATCTCCGCACTCATCTAAATGCGGAATGTTACGAAACTTAATTAGAACTAGAACAGGCATTCTAAACATTAGATACAACTATGTATTTTATACTGCGCTGCGCTATCGTTTTAATAATGTTTCATTTTATATTTTCGATTGAATCGAATAAGGAATATGTTTTGATGCGATTAGAAATACAATAATGTTTAGCATCTTTGAACATCTCCGTACAGTGTCGAAGAATGATAAATATTCATCTTTCTGTTGGCGTTGACGTTTCCAAATAGGTTTGTTATCGTTTCAAATTGCTGGCCCCAGTTAAGAGGAAACTTGTATGGATAAAATGGTGTATTTAAGATACATTCCAAACATATCGCAAACATCAATCCGTGCTACTGTACCTTGATAACATTCTTTAGCTTACAGACCCACAATATAAATACAAACTTACTAACCACACACCACATAATATTTGTGTGTTGTATCGTATAATATTTGTGGTGGTTATGATAATAATTTTCATAATTTTAGGGTCGGACTATTCATACGAACGCCATTGGGAGGTGGTAAGCTGCTCCCCCGTGCCTAGCACGCCAGCGAGCCTGTCGTGCAAAATGCTTGTCTTGACTGTACTCTTTCTAACCTGACCTAATCTCTTAATCCCTTCCGTGCTGG